GGAACGGCTTTCGGGGAGGAGTGGGAGCTGCGAGTTGTGCCCTACATCACTTCCATCCCTCGTGGCACCGAGTCCGTCCCTGCTCCCTGCCAGCATCACTTCTTTCTTGCCTTCCCTGATATTTTCTCCTCGCTTCACATGGATGGGCTGGGCCTCCTCGCTCCATCCCTCTGCCCACCCTGGGGTGGATGGAAAACAGGACTAATGAGTCCCTGGGCCAACTTGAATATTGCTCAGTGACATTTCCAATGCATAGCAGGGAGATTTCATCCTTTTCCCCGGGCAGGCTCACCCACCGGGTGCCAAGTGCTGAGGGAGTCAGAGGATGGGTCCGAAGGAGACTCTCACATCAGCTGCATAAATGAATTTTGCTAAGCAGATTAGGGAAAGGTCTCTGGTTCGGTGCGGGGCTCGGGGGAAGACCACGCTGGGCTGGCAGTACACCCCCTGCCTTCGGGATGGTGTTTTTGCTTGGGGTTAAGAGAGCGGCGTTCATGGGATGTTAGGTTTAGTGAGGGATTTTGCGTGCTTTAATTAAGATTTATTTGCAATCAGTTGGAGTGCCCTTATTTAAGTAAATTCCAGGCCTCAAATAATATGGCCATAAGGTTTTCCAGCCGTGCTTATTGCCAGGATGCCATTAAAATGGGGGCAGGGGTGGGGATTAACGAGGAAAGGCTTAAGGTCGGAGCACTGGTGGGAGAGTGCATGGTCGTTTCAGGAGGTGAGCTGGGCCTGTGTCTTGTTCTCGGCTGGCCGTACTGGATCCCAAAAACCCCAGTTACAGCTGGTACCAGTGAACCCCCCTCCTGGAAACGCGTGCAACGAGTTTATCCGAAAGCCTCGGGGCTCATGCCGGTGTTGGAGCAGCTAAGTGGGGGTTATGCTAGCAAGCCACAGTCGCTGGGACTGAAAGACTGTAATTATCCCCAATTAGATCGACTTTCTCGGAGCTGAGCTATCAAAGCAAAAGGCCCTTTTGGCTCGCTTTGCCCCCCCGGCGAGAGCGCAGATGTGACCTGCCGCGGTGGAGAGCCTGATAAATGCCACTGGGTGGGTGCAAGACGGAGGTGACACACGTATCTGCGTGCTAGCTGCGGGAGCCGATGCTGCTCCTGGGTTTTCCACCTTATTCCCTCTATAGGGAGAGGGTCGAGTCATGTTTCTCCATGCCTCGATTTACCTGATCTTTAAGAAAATCCATGTCCTTGGTTCCCACAGCAGTGGGCTGCCAGCAGGAGGAGAGCGTGACGCACCGTGCGGGTCCGGGCTCGCGTGTCTGTCGCATCCCTGGATGCTGTTTCGGGGTCAGCTCCGACCTGCTGAGCCTTCCCCCTTGTTAGCGCTGCCCGCAAATGTGCGGTGCTTCGTGTGCCGAACGGGAGAGCTTTGGGCTCAAGGGACCTTGAAAAACCGCCCCCGTCCCCCGCCTCCGGGGCCCTCCGAAATGCCCAACTTCCCCGGCCGCCCCCGCGTACCGGTGCAGACGCTGGCAGAGCAAAGCCAGCGCTGTTCCCAGCTGCCATCGGAGCCGCCTCGGTGACTCAGCAGCCGTGCTGAAAGCTCCCTTATTTATTTAAACGGCTGCTCCTGCTCGGCTGAGCATCCCCTGCAGTGATGCTGCCGCTGGGCCGGCCCCGGCCGCCGCTCAGCGAGGAGGAGGGCGATACCCGGCACCCCGAGCTCCCCG